GTGAGACTCCAACTCAAAAAAAAAAAAAGTGAAAAACAAAAGCAGTATTTTATTGAGATATTGTTTATGCAGAATAAAACACACCAATTCTAGTTTGCTGTATGAGTTTTTATGTATGTAAACGTCTGTGTGACCACCACCCAAATCAAGATCCAGGACATTTCCAGTCTCCAGCTGACTCCTTTGTGCCCCTCCCAGTTGGTGAACTCCAGGGGTAACTGCTATTCTGACCTATTGTTGGACTTGAAATGGGATCATTATAACGTGCTTTTTTGCATCTGGCTTCTTCACTAGACAAAGTTTCCTATATTCTTTTTTTTAATTATTATTATTTTTTTTTGAGTTGGAGTCTCGCTCTGTCACCCAGACTGGAGTGCAGTGGCCGCTCCCGGCCACCGCAGCCTCGAACTGCTGGGCTCCGGCGATCCTTCCGCCTCAGCCTTCCAAGTAGCTGGAACTACAGGCACGCGCTACCACGCCCAGCTAATTTTTGATTTATTGTGGAGATGAGGGCTCACCAAGTTGCCCAGGCGGGTCTCGAACCCGCGGGCTCAGGCAATCCGCTCACCCAGGCCTCCCAAAGTGCTGGGATTACAGGCTGAGCCACTGAGCCCGGCGTTTCCTATATTCTAGTTTCTTTTTATGGCCAAGGGCTGTTCCATTCCTTCTACTCCCCTCCCCCAGCACCTTACCTTCCACTCAGATCCACTTCTTGTTCTTATCTCCTCCCATTTGAGCAACTGCCAGGTTGCATTGGTTTCGGTTTCTTTGCTAAGAGGTCAGCCGTCAGCTGTGCAGAGGACTGCCCTGCTGGTGTGAAGGGCAGTGGTGGCCACAGAGGCGGTGGAGAGATGGCCTTCAGCGATGCCCAGCCTGCCTACCTGAACCCAGTGAGTTCCGGGGCTACAGGCACAGAGCTGGCCAGGGTTGAGCTGGCTGCCACAGCCAGGGGAAAACAGCTCCAGGGCCCTGAGGAAACCCTACTGGGCAGCAGAGGGGAGTGGTAGAGGCATTCCAAGGAGAACATGAGAAGGCGTCATCCTGTCATACCTTCTGTGCCATGCCGAGCTGGTCCGTGTCTCTCTGAACTGGGGGGGTGCTCATTGCCATGATTCATGTATTTTCTGAGCTGTCCTGTCCTGCTCTATGTGCTCGAGGGAAGAGGGTGATGGTTTGTGTGAAGAGGAAGTAAGCACGCTTCTGGGGAGATAGCGTGGTAGTAAGGGCACTACCGGGGAGACAGCCTACCTGGGTTCAGCCGTTTACTAGCTGGGTGGCCTCAGGCCAGGGTCTTCGCCTCTCTGGACCTCAGTTTCCACATCTGTAAAATGTGGATAATACTTGAGCCCATTTCTCAAGGCTGAGGCAAGAATTAAGAAGGTAGCATAGGTAGCATGTTTGAACAGTGCCGAACACACGGTAGGTGCTTTGGGAGTATTTCGTGTTATCAGGGGTCTAGGGGCAGCAGGGAAGACCTCTCGAGCAAGTGTCTGTGCCCTGAGGGATGAGTTGGAGTAAATAAGGCAAGGGCATGTTCAGGGCATGCGCAGAGGGGCAGTCTCAGAAGTGAGAGGGGAGTGAAGACCGTCCCTGCAGTGTGGGGTGCAAAGGTGGCCTTGTTTAAACTCTGTGAGGTCTATGATTCCCACTGTATACTATGGAGTAACTGAGGCCCAGGAGGTAGAAATCATTTGCCAAATGCCTCCAGATGGTAAGGGGCAGAGCAGGAAGATGCCCTGATTTACCCCCAGAAGAGGGGGAGCACACAGAAAGAGCAATAATGGGGTGAGGCAGGAGAGTGACAGACCTGAGCCCAGGACCCTTCTGTGGTCACTGTGTTCTGGGCCAGGCTGTGTTGTAGGGTCTCACCCAGGCTTGGCAAAGAGCTTCCCGAGGGCCTGCAATGCGTGGGCTGACACGGCCCTTTCTGGGGGGAGATGGGGCAGGGTGGGTGAGCAGTAGCAAGGTGGTGAGGGCAGGGAAGCTGCTGGGACCCCTCAGAAGAGGCCCCAGACTTGGCCTGTTTCCTCCTGGCTGTCACCAGTGACTCCTCAGTTACCCCATGAAGGCCCCCAAGGTGGGACTCATATGGAAAGGCTCGGAGAAACTGGAATGGGCCACCGGCCCCTCCGTGGGGGCCTTAGGGTCTGAGTGCGCCACCTTGGATGCATTACCCCCTCTCTGGGTCTCTGTTTGGGCAGGAGATCCCAGAGCTTCTTCCAGGTTCTGACATTTTATTATTCTGGAGACTGGTTTTTACTTTTCAGCCTTTGGATTCAGAAGCCCCATTTTCCCACCAGAAGGAAAATCCTCCTGTGGGCAACAGAGAGTTAAGACAGGGCCTTGGACGCCAGACAAGAAATATGAGTGTGGCACCACAGGGGCCCCGAGCACCCCTCCACCCCACAAGGGTTCCCCAAGCTGGCACTCAGTGACCCACCTGGCAGTCAGAGTCACATTTCCTCCAAGTGCTGACTGGGGTCAGTCATGTGGCCCACAGTCCTGCTGAGTGGTGCCTGCCACGAAGGCCTGGCTTGGGAACCTCACTCCCATTTCTTGCCTGGCCTCCTCCAGCCAGGCCTGCAGAGGGCCAGGAGGGGAACTGGGGTCACAATCAGCATGGGACTTGCCACGTGGCCCAGGAGACCCGGGAGCAAGGGTGTTCTGTGCTTTGTGGAGAGGCAGCCCACGTTGTGGTTGAAAGCAGGGGTCCTGGGGTTCAAATCTCAGCTCTGTTGCTGCCCAGCCGTGTGGCTTTGGGCAAATGGTTGAACGTTTCTGTGCCTCAGTTTCCTCATCTGTAAACATGGCCAGAGTTGTGAGGATACATGAGGTAACACAGGAACAGAAGGTTGGCCACCAGCAGAGCCTTGGAATTCCTGGGGCAGAGGGATTTTAGGAGGACTTGAATGAAAGCCACCCACTTCCTCCCATTGGCAGTCAGTCTCCATAAGCCAGGCTGGGCTCCCACCACTGTGCCAGGCTTGGGTATTCCCTGGTGACAATGAGCCCAGGAGGAAGCCACCCACACTCTGCACGGAGAGAAAGAGCAGGGAGAAGTCTCCAGTCTCCGGGCACGCCCAGGAGCCAATAAATTCTGGCTTAGCAGAGGGATTGATTCATCCTGACGCAAACAGCCTCTCTTTCATGCCCAAGAGCCAGGGGCTGTCCACATAGCATCTCATCGAATCCTCTCTGGAACACTGCCAGGCGGGTACTATTATCCTTCTGTTCTGAGGAGGGACGTCGGCCACTGTCAGAACGGCTAGCATACCGATCCTGGAGGTGAGCGCAGGCCTGTGGGACCACAAACCCCCTGTAAAAATCCACCCTTCTGTGCTGCATGGAGCAAATGAGGGTCCAGTCTTTTCCGCTGTTTCCTGTAGACACAGATCCAATCTCCATAGCAGCCTTGCCGGCCAAGCACAAAACAACCAGTTTGTTCTCCTATAGTTCTGGAGGTCAGAGGGCCAAAACCAAAATGTCAACTAGGCTTCTGGAGCTTTCCTTCTGGAGGCTTCTGGGGACAATCTGCTTCCCTGCCTTTTGTAGCTGCCAGAGGCTGCCCACATGCTTTGGCTCATGGCTCCTCCAGCCATCCTTACAAGCAGAGCTTCTTGTTTCTGTTGCCACATTTCCTACCGATGCTGAGCCTCCGCCTCCCTCTTGTAAGGACCTTTGTGATTATATTAAATCCACCCAGATAGTCCAAGGTAACCTCCCCATGTCAAGATCCTAAATCACATCTGCAAAATCTCTTTTGCCATGTAGGGCCACACATTCAAAGGTTACAGGGAGCAGAATGTGGACGGTTCTAGGGGTCCAGGGGTGGGGGTGGGTATTATTCGGTCTACCACACCCTCTTTGGAGTCAACCAGTATTAGGAGTTTCTTGTAAGTCCTTCTAGAGGTAATTTATCTATAAGTAAACGCAAGTACATAGCCTTCCACCACCCATTTTTTATACAAATGACATCATTCTATATCAGTGTGCAAAGAGTTCCCTTCTTTTTCTTTTCTTTTTAAGGCCACGTAGACTCTATTGTATGGAAGTGCCCTAATTTATTTCACCTTTTTTAAATCTGTGGACTTTTAGGCTCTTCCATTCCTTTGCTCTTATAAAGCTGCCATGAATCACCAAGTGTGTAAAATTAGACTCAATTTAGAGTAATCTTGTTTTTCAGAATTTGGGGGCAGCATTTAAGACACACTGAAATCTCACAAGATTTTCTAAGAGGGATTGTCACCTTAGAGATGAGCCTGTATTGTCCCCCTTCCATGATCTGTCCCCGTTTGTCCTTCAGCTCGGCTTCCATAATCCTTTCTGAGCACTTAGGATCCCACAGTCGTCTCTGCTGCCTTTAAGTCTTTACACCTCAGGGTGGACATGCGGAAGTGAGGTTGTGTGCCTCTCTCCCAGGAGCTTGTGCTTAGAACGCACACTAGAAGACAATTTCAGGCTTTCCCAAACAAGGGAAGGAAAAAAGGTTCCACAGACATTTTTCAGGGAAGACAGACCTCCCACTATTATGCCAAGCTAGTCCATAGCCATATCGAGCTGACTCTAGTTCTCCCAAACCCCTGGCATAAACGGAATTCTCAGAGTGAACTCAGACTTGCTCAAAGTCACTAATATATTCAATGGCAGATTTTAGACCGCAACAAAAGACACCTTCCTCAAACCCGTGGACAGCAGAGTGTCTGAATGCGAGTCTGCAGTACAGGGGTTTTTATAGTGCCAGTCATGTGTGCTGAGCTAGGATGGGATTCTGAAGGTTTGTTTTTGTTTTGTTTTTTTTTTGAGTTGGAGTCCCACTCTGTAGCCCAGGCTAGAGTGCAGTGGCATGCTCATGGCCACCGCAGCCTCAACCTGCTGGGCTCAGGAGATCCTTCCATCTCAGCCTTCCAAGTAGCTGGAACTACAGGCACATGCCACCATGCCTGGCTAATTTTTTAATTTATTGTAGAGTTGCAGTCTTGCCAATTTGCCCAGGCTAGTGTCGAACCCATGGGCTCAGGCAATCCTCTTATCTCAGCTTCCCAAATTACTGGGATTATAGGCGTGAGCCACCACGCCAGGGTGTTCTGAAGGTTTTGTGCAATCATACAACTCAAGTATACAGGCCAGAAAACAGTGGCCAGTGGACTGAATTTGGCTGGTGGGTGTTTTTTTATTTGGCCTGTGCAGTGTTTATTTTTATTTGCGACTATAAACAATTCAACTATGCAAGGAGAATAGTGTTGACGAAAGATGCCAAACTCTAAAATATTTAAGATGGTTTCATCTGGGCTAAATGTGAATGATTTAGGCCTGTGGCATCCAGTCTCGGGAGGTCCTGAGAATGTGTGCCCGCCATAGTTGAATTGTAATTTGATTATATATAATTTAAGAGGAGAGTAGTTTCAAGAAGTCATAAATCAAGCCGGGCTCGGCGGCTCAGCCTGTAATCCTGCGCCTTTGGGAGGCTGAGGTGAGTGGATTGCCTGAGCCCACGGGTTCGAGACCTGCCTGGGCAGCGAGACCTCATCTCTACAATAAATCAAAAAATCAGCTGGGCATGGTAGCGCATGCCTGTAATTCCGGCTACTTGGAAGGCTGAGACGGAGGGATCGCCGGAGCCCAGCAGGTCGAGGCTGCGGTGGCCGGGAGTGGCCACTGCACTCCAGTCTGGGCGACAGAGTGAAACTCCAACTCAAAAAAAACAAACAAACAAAGAAATCATAAATCAATACATATGAGATTTACACTGGTTTGGTCTGAAAGGCAGGCCATTTCTAACCAGGACCCTGCAGGCTATAGGTGGGATTCCAAGATTTTCTGACTAACAATTGGTCGGCAAGCGTTGTCACAGGAATTTTGAAAGCAGTAATGGAAATAGGCAGCTTGAGGA